ATAATGCCTTCTGGGCAAACCTCTTGCCAGACAGAGTTTGAATTCTGAGAAGCACAGCATCAAAAAAACCCAATTATCTATACCTTAAAGTATACGTTTGGACGGGTGCTCTGGGCCTTTGCAGAGCAGATCTGCCAAAAGGATTGCGTTTCTCGGTCCACGTGGGCAGGGATGTATGTCTTGTAATTCCTGCTCACCTCAGGAGGCTGCAGACAGCCGGCGATAGGAAACGTAGTCGTGAGGGTCACCGAAATAACTGCTGGGAGGTGTGGAGTAACCCTCCCACCTCCGCCAGCCTGCGCCTGGTGGGCCGTCAGTGGGGATCGGCGCAGGGAGAGATGCACTGCGTGGTTCAGGTATAAATAGCGGTGTCGCCTGAGACAGGTGCTGCATGGCAGACCTAATGGTACCCTCCTAACCCCTTTTTACGCTCAGATAGTTTAGCTATACACATGTATTTTAAAGCAATCGCTTATGTATTTTAAAGCAATCGCCTGTTCTTTAGATTGTTACCATAATTTTAAACCTTACCTGACTTCTAAGCTATACTTTTATAGTTTGTGTTTTCTTTGCAGACAGTAATAATCAGTCTTAATTTTTTGTTTCAGTTATTGTCCTCCTCGTGCACTAATGGAGAGGGTTATTATAAGTGAGTTTTCAACCAATTATGAAAACACTGTTTTCTTAAGTAGGTAGCCTGGTTAAACACAGTGGCCTCTTAAAAGAAAGATGCTAACACGCCCGGTTTCATTGAAACAAGGCGAATTGAAAAAAAACAACAAACATGCCACAAGGATAACGAAGCACTGGGAAACAGTTGTTTAAAGCAGGCTGACGGCTTCATCCTAATATATTTTTTTTTTTTTTTTTCATTTTCAGAGTCTGATTTGTCGAATTTGGCCAAGCTATACAGAGATGAGCGGTTGAAACAGAAAGCGGAATCGCTGAAACTTGAGCACTGTGAGAAGCTCTCCAGTTTGATTGGAATGCACAAAGGGGGCTGAACCAGGACACACGCGTTCTGTAGTTTTATTTATTGCCGTTTTAACTTATGTTTTTATTTTTCCTTGTATAAAAAGGGAAGGAGTCTATTGTAAAGAGTCGGATCATCTGATTCCTTCTGCGTATAGCGCAGAGAGTGGCCAACACGAGCCGTAGAGCCAGTGTTGCTGTAATATATACTGTACACTATATTTGGTTCCAAGGACCAGTGGCACTTTGTAAATTAATTCCCTGGGAGACGCTGTTAGTTTGGAATCTGTCTTCGTCAGTAGTTTGTCTGCCATCCAAACAGCATACGCTTCCCAGGAGAGCAGGCAAATGTCTTCGCTTTCTGTATTTTATATGGACCTGCAGTTCACTCGGATTGTACGAACAGTGTAGTTGTCAGTATTAAGCGCGTTGACCCTCCCCTACCGATACCACATGCGCGTCCTTGCTTCTACAGTGGTTTGTAAGGAGAACTTAGGTGGAAGGCGGCGTGTTTCCTCTTGGAGCGTGATACGCAATGCTTAATTCGAGTCAAGTACCTGCTTTGGGCGAGCACTCGAGCGGGCTCCCGCCTCCCCCGCCGTCAAAGGCACTTCGCCCCGTGCCGGTCTGAGCGGAGGGCCGTGCCCGTTCGGTTCCGTGGTGAGACAACACGCTGAGATGCCGGTGGCAACGTCGAACAAGAAGACGGGAGTCTGCGAATGGCACCAAGTCTGCCAAACTGTAGAGAAAGGACAACTCTATTTATTTTCTCATATGTTTCCAGTGCACATTTTTAAACTGCCTGTTTAATTCTGATTCTCATCTGCAAACTCTTCTCCAGCTGTTACAGGGGTCCTGCTTTTTCTGGTACAGTTTCAATGTAGCATATTTTTACTCTGTTGAGCAGTTATGAATGTTTCACTGTAGAGATTAGCGTTACAAAGAAAAAGATCCGCATAGTAGCGTGCTGTTTTTCCTTCATGCTCCTTTACGAAACCGGGTGTTTAAAGGCATGTCGAGGACGGGTTGTGCTGGTCAGCAGTGGAGAACAGAGTGTTGGTGCTCCGGTTGAGCATCATTAACCTCCTGGGCCAGTTTCTCTGGTGGGGTGTGTACCACAGGTGGAACAAACTCTTCCAACACAGGACATTGAGCAATGCGGGCGCTGGGGGGGCGCGTTGTGCCCTCCCTCCGGGACGCGGGGATGCGGCATAGCCTTAGTGAAGACACTGCTCGCCTCTCCGCCCTGGGAGTTAAAACTGAACATCCCTTTGTTGTGGCCCTTATTCCTAAAACTGGCAGCGTGGGTGGCAGCAAGTGTCCCCTTTGTTGTCCCCGTGTCCCGCGACGGAGCGGTGGGGGCTGCGGGAGGAGAAGGTTGTTCGGTGGTCTGTGCCAGAGGGTGGGGGTTTGTCCGGGGCTTTGGGACGTGATGCTTCTGCGAGAGGTGACACGCACATCCCCTGTATGATCAGACCGTTGCCACTACAGCAGCCTTGCTGCTGTGACATGGGGGGGTGTTTTAAAAAAAAATAAATTAAAAAACCCAACATAATGACTCTTTAAAGAAGCATTTTGGTGTTAACATTTGTTCCCCTGCTGGGGCAGCTTTGCAGGAGGTGGAGCAGAGTCTGTCGGCCGCTCAGGGTGGGGAGACGCCCCCTAAAAAAGGGCACTGGGAGGGGGTTGTTGTGAATCCCGTTTAGCGTGAGAGTCTGTTTGATTTGGTTATTCTCGTTCGGCATCGCGGCTGGTGGTGGGACCAGCGCCCTTCATTCTGGCGTTCCCCGATTGTGAGCGTGGAATATGAGCGTGTATAAAAAGCCAACTTCTTTTCGGCATCGCTTTCTGTGTGTCAAACAGCTTGTAGAAGATATTTGCTATACATTAAAGTGTTTGGACTTTGTTGCAGGTTCGGTACCTGTCCCTCTCGCGCCCCTCTGGGCGCCCAGGGCAGCGGAGGGCTGTCGGTGGGGAGACCCCGCGCGGCAACGGTGTGGGACCTGCGGTGCCCCCTGCGGGGCGCGAACCCACCCGTAGGTTTTTGCCCTTAAAATACATCGCGCCTTTCATCCGGAGACCTCAAAAGTGCTTTATGGAGGTGGGAGGCACAATAATTTTAAGGGTTTTCTCTGCCGCTGAGGACAGAGGCCAGGAGGGAGCGGGAGAGGAGACCGGAAGGTGAAAAAAAAAAAATTAAAAAAGCAGTAAGTCCTTCTTCGTGGATAATGGTGGTGAAGGGTGTCACGGGTGACCACCTGCGTGGCGGTGCCGTCTCTGGTGATAGACACGAGGTGTTCTTTTCGTACAGCGCCGGTGGCGTGCTCGATAGCGGGGATGGGGAAAGAAAGGAAAATGGTGGCCTCGTGCCGGTGGCCGTTGAAACGCGTCGCTGTCATCAGCCGGAGGTGGCTCGCCAAACCGCCACCGATGTCTAATTATTTCTTGTGTCTCCACAGGGCAGTGGCAGTTTGTTCCCTGCGACGTGGGCGCGCGCGGAATTACGGGCCGCGGCCCCTTTAAGACGGCGGGAGGGGGAGGAGGCGCGCGCGCGCGTTGCTAGGAGACGGGGACGGCCCC